CCATCTCTGCTGACAGCTACACTACACCATCTCTGCTGACAGCTACACTACACCATCTCTGCTGACAGCTACACTACACCATCTCTGCTAACAGCTACACTACGCCATCTCTGCTAGACAGCTACACTACACCATCTCTGCTGACAGCTACACTACACCATCTCTGCTGACAGCTACACTACACCATCTCTGCTAACAGCTACACTACACCATCTCTGCTGACAGCTACACTACACCATCTCTGCTAACAGCTACACTACCATCTCTGCTAGCTACACTACACCATCTCACGCCTACACTACACCATCTCCGCTATCTCAAAGTACCCGCCCCCACACGGCCAACTTTGGAATATCTTAATGAAATTGGTTGCTGCTGCTGGCCGACTAGTGCAGGCTGTGGTGTGAGGACCCTTACACGAGTCAAGTCCAGCCTCGTGTGTCTCGGTAAACAGGAGGCGGGCAGAGTTGAGGCTCACTTGTTTTATTGCGTCCAGTTGGTCTCTTTTTTAACTGTTTCTCTCTACGATTTTTTATCTTTTTTTTTACGAAACTTTGACAACACTAACGAGAGTAGTTTCAGGTTCCGGATTATTCAAGTTTCTCTCATTTAAGTTTTAGCCGTAACTTGGCGCCAGACAACGCCTCTCATTAGGGTAGAGTCTCGACGTAACTTCACCACCGTTTTATCTAGCACCTTAATTAACCCAGTTAGATAAACTTTATAATCTCCGGTAAACTTGACCTACAAACTTGTCTAAATCCGGCCACTAGTATATATGTTACGGTCTTGAAGCACCACCTCTAGGACGTTAGTTCGATCCCTACCCCCCGCCCAGACCAAAAAAAAAAAAAAATTTCCAGAAGTATGTCGTGTGTGTGTACCTGGCAGCTCACTCGGCCGGGAGGAATTAATAACAAGCCTTCAGGATCATTGGCTGTGTTTTGCACCGTTATCGTCAGACCTGGTGATGGCTGTGTGTGTGTGTCCCAGGTTAGTCTAGAGGAGTTTTATACTGTGGAACAAGACACCGGAGAAAGGAATAGAGTATTTAGAGAGATGCAGAGAGAAAAAGAATAACAGAGACAGAGATATAGAGCCAGACATATACAGAAAGAGAGACAGACAGAAAGAGCCGTAGACAGAGAGGAAGAGAGAGAAACAGACAGAGAGAGAGAGAGAGAGAGATAACAGACTAGTATCTTCAACCATAAAACATGGATAAAAAATTATTAATAGTTTTGTTTGGTTGTCGAAAGGAGTGGATGGCTCTCTCTCTCTCTCTCTCTCTCTCTCTCTCTCTCTCTCTCTCTCTCTCTCTCTGGCGGACAGGCAACACTGCTCAAACAATGGAGTTCCATAATAACATTTCTCAGTCAACATGAATAGAAACCAGGAATATTTATCTCGTGTTGTTATAGCCAATCACACACACACACACACACACACACACACACACACACACACACACACACACACACACACACACACACAAGGATGCGAAAATGTCACAAAGAAAAAGCAGTAAATGAAAGTAGGAGACGAGGATAGCAGGAGGAAGAGGAGAAAAAACGGGAGAGTAAAAATATCTGAAAGCTTAGAATCCTGCAGGGAGACAAAGAGACTGGGGAAAACCTCGGAGGAAATAAGCTTTTAACAGCTTCTTCTTCCTCTGGTAGAAACCGACATACTGTTTACCATTGTTTGTATACCTCCTCTGTTTACCATTGTTTGTATACCTCCTCTGTATACCGTTGTTTGTATAACTGCTCTGTGTACCGTTGTTTGTATACCTCCTTTGTTTACCATTGTTTGTATACCTGCATTGTCTACAAACACCGTACGTGACCAGTACAGGTAATGGTAATAAACAAATGCTAATACAGTTAAATAAAATGGAAAAGATTGACAAATACTTTGAAAGAGTAAAGAAGAGGCAGAAGGTCCGGTCAGAGGAGCTGGTCACTAATGCTAGCGACACAGCGATTCTGTTTTACATGTGAATATTGTCAATCCGCTCACTATTCAACGGTGGAAATTCAATAACTGTGAGGCGTTTCATCCGGGGCGGCAAGCGAGGCGGGGCCCATCCACCTACAATGGGAGTGATTGGCTTCCGGAGCTCATCCCAGTACCAACCAGGCCCGTCGGAATCTGAGAGAAGTTGTAAGAGAGGAGGAGATAAAGAGGAGACATATTTGACATTTTGATGTTTCTATCTACAGGATTGCCAAGAAATGTAACTACTGTATAACTTCTAGCCATTACCCTTGTTGTAGGAAAAAAATACTGTTCTAACATTAAAGAAAACGGAAGTAGTTGAATGAGATACAATAGTAATCTTAGTTTATCCTCCACCTCACTTGCCAGCTTTCTATCCGGTTGGGTAAAAAGTCTGGTAAAAATAGTTTGTATATATGTATTTCGTGATTTTTGTAGAACGTATGAGATTTTTTACATTTAAAGAGGAGAAATACATGAAGTAGTTTGTCGTTATTGAATATTTGAACCAGTATCATATTTGCCTTATTTTCTTTATTTACCTAATTTAGTAAAATTCTGGAGTTAAAATTCCTTCAGAAATACGTTTACTGAAACATGCAAGTCGTCCCGTTGCAGGTCGTGTCATCACCAGAAGGAGGTCTTAATTTATGTTTATGTCAAGTTATTAATAATACAAAGTTACTTAAGTATATTCACTCGTATAATTTTATTCACTACTCTACATTATGACTTGAATTGAATTTCACAAGATTCGTTCACACGGAAGTCTTGTCTGGAATATATAACTCGGTGTTTGGCCTCCGCTGTCAGACACGATAGTTGGTTTTGGTCAATGCGTGTGTTCACTTTTTATCTCTTTCGTGGGTTAAAGTTGCTACAAAGTTTACGGGCTTAATGGCGTATAGTTTAACTGAGAAAACTCCTCTCTCTCATGTAAAAAAAAATCAGTTATTCTTCCCGTTTTCTAAAATATTGGCGTCTCCGTTTTCTTGGACGTGACAACAGCAGCAGACGTCACTAACCACATTAAACTAAACAAAGCCAAATTTGAACAGTTAATTTGACCTCCGCTGATATGAAACTGAAAATAACCTTACAGACTAAGAATGATGTATCGTGTGGCCTTGTGATTTCCAGCTTAGAAAAAGAAACAGGCAGCCGCGGAAATGGAATATGTGTATTAAAATCAAGTTAGAGCCAAAATTTCACCATACTCTCTCGCTCTTGTACATTCAGCATCTGGACAAAATATTTCCCCTGGAACCAGAATTTCTCCTGAATGTTGGATAGGGTAAATCTTAGAATACTAAATTTTCCTATTTTGAAACTATTGCGCCGTTTTGAAATATCCTAACACTGTCTTGAGACAATGAAAAGTTGTTTATATCTGTTGTGATACTTGAGGTCAGCTGATTATTGTCCTAGCAGTATCACGAGGTACAGGTACTAAAATATGGCAAATTAACCTGCTCTCGTTATATCTATATTTTGAGTGGACGAGATGAAGTGTTACCTAGAATATAATGTTTGGGGTTGACTAAAAAAAATATATACATTTTCTAAAAGAAGAATTATTTGATTCTCCATTAATTTTCTTTGTTTGTTTTGTTTACATAATCAACTTCACCACCATTGCAGGACACGGGGATAATGGGGACGGGGGTGTGGTATGCCCGGGCCAATCACACCAACCACCTTGTAAGTGTTCATTATTAAAACCATGTCCAAGCACCCATGTCCAGCACTCTCTGGCACCCATGTCCAACAGTATCCTAGCACCTCTGGTCATTGTCTATGGGGCACCTGTATCCAACACCATTCTTGCCTTTTCCTAATATAATATATCACCCATTTCCAGCACCCATGTCCTGCACCCATGTCCAGCATCCTCTGGTATTACTCTCCAGCACCCCTTCCTTTTGTACTGTATATGGCACCCATGTCCAGTCTCATTTGGTACCGTTTCTAAAGTATGACACGTCTATCCTGCACAGTCCGTCACACGTGTCCAAAATTTTCCAGTGCCTAAGGTAATCAGGTCTAGCAACATGCATCTGCAATAACCACAGCAACTATTTCCTCCACATGTCCTGCTCCCTGATGCCCGTGGTCATGCCCGTGTCAAGGCCCAGCATCCATGTTTAACTCTTAAGTATCCGTCTATATTAACCACAACTATACATCCATGTCCAACAGTGTCTGGTAACTATGTCCACCAGTGACCACCACCTATGTCCAACACCATCTGATAGCCATGTTTAACTCTGACACCCATGTCCAATATTATCCTGTAGGCATGTCCATCAGTACCACCCATACCCACCACTACCTGCTCACGTATATATACAGTACATTTATTTTCATCAGATCTGTTCACTCCATTCTAATAAAACAAAAGAGTCGCGCATTTAAACAAGTAAGAGAAGAATCGTGTTAACAGTAAAGCAGTAACAGATAAATGCTCCAGCGAAGCCACACATTGAGCCACCATCTTCAGGAATCAGACAATTGTTAAAACCATCATTGTCAACTGTTTGGTAACTGTGTGTGTGGCTGACAATGACCACTCGAGCGAGGTTGGTGGCATCGTCTCCTCCCGAACTGTTTGTGTAAGGAAGTTCCTCTTGTGTTACGGGAACAAACACAATATTGTCTTTACTGAGCTCTTATGTTTGTTTGGGGTTTGGTGTTTGTTTCTTTTACTTTATTTTTTATTTTTTATTTTTATAAACGTAAGGCGCAGGGAGAGTGGAGAAAGGCCTTTGTAATTTGTATTCAGTGAAGCGTGGCATCCCCGGGCCAGCGACTGAAGGCATTTCAACTAGGATGATGAGAACTGATGGAGTTTACAATATCGAGTTTTATTAAATAAGTCTTATATTATGAACTTTATTTAGTCATGATATCTATTATACTTATTCAAAACCCCAATATTTTTATTATATCGAATATCAATTTATTTTACTCCTTTATACGGTATAATTTACACTCATAATAAGTGTAAGTGTGCGTGAGTTTGTCTTGTGTGTGTGTGTGTGTGTGTGTCTTGTGAGTGTGTGTGAGTTAATCTTGTGAGCGTGTTTGTCTTGTGAGCGTGTGAGTTCCCTTCCTAGGAAATGAAACTTGAGTCAAATGTTTGTTTATTTCCGTAAAGTAACATAAATTAACGACTTCTTGTGGCTTCTACGTATCATCAGTCAAGTATCAGTGTCAAGTACCAGTGTCAAGTACCGGTGACAAGTACCCGAGTCAAGTACCAGTGTCAAGTACCAGTGTCAATTACCAATGTCAAGTATCAGTCAATACAAAGTGTCAAGTACCAGTGTCACGTACTAGTGTCAAGTACCAGTGTCACGTACTAGTGTTAAGTACTAGTGTCACGTACTAGTGTTAAGTACTAGTGTCACGTACTAGTGTCAAGTACCAGTGTCAAGTATCAGTCAAGTACCTGTGTCAAGTACCAGTATCAAGTACCAGTGTCAAGTATCAGTCTAGTACCAGTGTCAAGTACCAGTATCAAGTACCAGTGTCAAGTATCAGTCTAGTACCAGTGTCATGTAGGTGTCAAGTACCAGTGTCAAGTATCAGTCAAGTACCAGTGTCAAGTACCAGTGTCACGTACTAGTGTCAAGTACCAGTGGTTACATTCATCTCATGTTTATTCTACTAAACTACATATAAGAGAAAATATGTAGATATATTAAGGTAAAAAAAAATATATAAGAACTTTTCTGATTCTTGACCGATGTTCCCCGGAGAAATCTTATGAGAAGACGTTAATCAGAGAGTATTCTGTTTCAAACTTCTTGCATAGATTACAAAATTTAGACGAAAACTGGAAGACCTTGGCGAACCTGTGTACAGAATTTTAACAGAAACGTTAGATGAAGCTTTTTTTTTCTTCAGAGGGTTAAATCATAGTCTTCAAAGGGTTAAATCATCGTCTTCAAAGGGTTAAATCATCGTCTTCAGAGGGTTAAATCATCGTCTACAAAGGGTTAAACCATCGTCTTCAAAGGGTTAAACCATCGTCTTCAAAGGTTAAAACCATCGTCTTCAAAGGTTAAATCATCGTCCTCAAAGGGTTAAGTGAATTTCAATAATAATCATATCTACTTATTTTTATGTGTGTGGATGTAACCAAAATAATAATTAACAGAAAATATTGACTTAACCCGAATGTTTTGCTTTATACCAAATCAAGTTGGAAGAATGATGTATATACGTATTATGGCACTTCAATTTATTTCACTCGTTCAAAATTTTCTCAACAGATTTCCAACATAAACAACTTGACTGATTGGGGCCAGGAGTTCAACAGCAATCAATCCGGATGTGTGTTTTTAATATTCTCTCTCTTTCTCTCAATTACATTTACTCATTACATGTAATATTTTAAAGCACTATATACTCTCTTAATTGCTGGTTATATTGTGTTTGCATTGTTTTCGGCAGCAGAATTTGTTTTCCTTGTTTGTATGTACAGGTAGGCTTGTTTAATGCTGTTTTCTTTGAGGGAATGTACTGTGTAAAGCGAAAGTGTATTACAGTAATTGGATTTGCGCTGTTTTTTTTTTTATTGCTTTGCTTGTGTTTTTGTTTAAGTTCTTTTGTTCTTTTTTTCTATATATTTTTGTGTGTGGATATGATTATTATATATTTATTATATATATATACTAGAATATATTGTTGTTGTTGTTGTTTATCTAATAGTTTGCGTTTCTCTTCTCTTCCCGTTACATTTTCCTTACTTCGACCGTCCTCACCACACACCTGTTCTCACCACACACCTGTCCTCACCACACACACCTGTCCTTACCACACACACACACCTGTCCTCACCACACCCTATCCTGACCACACACACCTGTCTTACCACACACACCTATCCTCACCACACATATCCTACCACACACCTATCTCACCACACACCTATCCTCACCACACACCTATCCTACACCTATCCTCACCACACTATCCTCACCACACACCTGTCCTCACCACACACACCTATCCTCACCACACACACCTATCCTCACCACACACCTATCCTCACCAGTTTGCAGGGGTCTTTGCCTTTAAGTTCCGTATGTCAGACTTGGAAGAACTAGTGACGGCGAAGGAGGGGAGAGAGGTGATGGTGACAGCTAAGGTAGGAGACGCTTACTGGGACGTCAAACACTCCGGCTACGCTGCTACCAGAGTCTTCAACTCAGCCATCAAACTCGACTTTTTAGGAGAATCACCCCAAGTTCTACGGCCAGCCAAAAGCCCTCAAGTTTTATGCTTTAGAATGAATTCAAATGCAAGTACCTGAGATTTTCCTTTCATTCACTGTTATCCATTCAGTCATTCATTCATTCATTTATTATTCACTGTCACCTTCACATAAGCCAGGAACACCTCCACCTTCCTACCACCTAGTACCTTACCCACAACAAAATAACTCACAATCTAACCACCTTTTTGTTGGCCTTTTTCAGTTATCGGCGACGCAACACGATGGTTCCAAGGTCCCAGAATGGCGCCTATCCCGACATCGCCTTCTTGTCAGCCCTGAAGTGACGCTAAATACAGGGGAAAGACGCAAGTTACTCTCCCGTACTGTAAAGATGACCCACGCTCGCTATGCTCTGTGGGAAGCCGAGATAGATCTACATGTTGAGCTGAGTAAGTCATTTGGAGTAGGGTGAAGGGGTAGTATGTATGTGTGTGTGTGTGTGTGTGTGTGTGTGTGTGTGTGTGTTTTTTAGGTCTATTGATTGAGTGTGTTGAGATTTTGAGTGAGTTTATTTTACGTCTTTTGTTTGAGTGTGGGTGGTGTCATTGGGAGAGTTTGTGAGGTGGTGTCTTGGAGGTTTTGTGAGTGTTTGAGTGTGTCATTGGGAAGGTTTTGAGTGAGTGTGTGTCTCTTTGAAGGTTGGTGATTGAGTGAGTGAGTCTTTTAGGTCTTTTGAGTGAGTGAGTGTGTTTGTTGGAGAGTTTTTGAGTGCATGAGTCTCTTTAAGTCTCCTCTTTAGGGAATTTGAGTGAGTGAGAATCTGTTTAGGTCTTTAAGTATAAACGTCAAGTAGTTTAAGGGCCTTTTATAAATAAGCTCCAATGGTTTTAGGTTTTAGGGATAAACTACCTGTGTCTTTAAGTCTTTAAGGATTCATCTTATCATCCTATTAAAGTTCCTTTAAATTAACTGAGACGTAAAGCCACTAGCAAAAAAAATCCTTTGTTCATACTAGTAAAAATATCCTTTGTCCATACAAGTAAAAAACTTTGTTCATATGAGTAAAAACTTTGTTCATACTAGTAAAAAATCCTTTGTTCATACTAGTAGTAAAAAAACTATTCGTACGAGTAAAAATCGTCAATTATTTATCCAGAGAAACTGACTGCGTTGAAGTGTAAAAAATGTTATTAACGGGATTTATAGGTCGAGGAGCTGTAGATTATTGAATATTTACCTGAAATTATTGAAGGAAATGTCGATAATATGAATTATTTTTTTATGAAGGAGAGTGAAATTATCAGTGTTTGTGTTTATGTGTTTCCCTCACTTTTATTCTATCTCTGTTGGAACCTAGAATCATTATCTCTCTCTCCTTCACGTATCCTTCCAGCGGACGTGGAGGTTGCCATGGAGATTCAGTCACTCCGTCTGATGCTGAACTGAAGGACGCGGCGGGGAGTCGGTCCTACTCCTCCCTGGTCAGCGTCTCCCACCACTCACCCTGGGACGCCACTTACAGATCACCACCAGCACCAGGTTCCCCAAGGTACTCACTACAGACGGGGACACCTTACTAGGAGGAACATCTTACTAGAGGAACATCTTACTAGAAGGATATTTTACATTAATCAATTTTTTTTTAAACAACCTCTCAGCCATTGTTGTCTCTCTACCTCTCTCTCTCTCTCTCACACAGGTAGGAGAATACGTCATCCTCCACGTAAGGAGTAACTTCTACCTGGAGAAGTTCCGCTACGTCTTGTTGAGTAAAGGAATGGTGATCGAGGCGGGTCAGCAGCGGATGGAGGTAAGGCTATGATGACCTGTTGTGTTTATACTCTCTCTCTCTCTCTCTCTCTAGCGAAGAGAGGTCTAACCTAACGTCCAAACCTAACTAAACCAACTGGACCAGAACTAATTTAAGCTAATCTAACCTAAACTATCCCAACTAAAACCAAAATTTTAAACAATCTCAATAAATGAATAGAATACAACCACAACCTTAAAGTGTACGGAAACCAATCAGCACAAGCCAGACCCACGTACCAGTGACTTTTTTAAAACATTGTTAGCGACAAGGCTGTGTATTCGGGAGTTGGGTTCTCAGGCAACACATGTACAGGTAGGTCCGCTGGTGGTGGTAAAAATGTCCTCAGCCATGGTATATTTCCTTCACTGATTCCTAAACGGGTTTTTTTTTTTTGGTTAGTTCTTATATTAAAGACGATTCATAGTCGTGGAAAGTATGATTAAGTCTTTCTGGAGGTAGGGGGATTTCCATGACTTATAAAACTAAAGGAACATTTATTATTTTTACATGATGAAGATACGACTCGTAATCCGGTATGTTTTGGTCATCCACTTATTTAGAAGTAAGTCAGAATTCTTCAAAACACGTCAAAAACCATCGGAATAATATAATTTCAACCTAACCCAGCCAAGCCCAGCATAGCCCAACCCAACCCAACCCAACCCATCAGTCCTCCTACACAGTGTATTAGCCTTGAGTGAGTCTGGCTCGGGTGTACCTGAGAGACGGGATAGTTAGGAGAACAATGGCAGCGTTACAGAGAGACAGTATTGAGAGAGACTGGGAGATAGAGCGAGAACTGCCGAGATAGATAAAGGGAGAGGACTAAAGGACAGAGAGGGAACTAAAGAGAGAGAGAGAGAGAGAGAGAGGAATAACGAGAGAACTAACGAAAAACAGACAGACAGACATACAGAGACATGAACCAGGTCGTAACTATTCAGTCACCAAGGCTTCAATAAACAACTTATTTACAAGCGTTGAAACTAGTGTAAACAACTGTAACTTACAGGCGTTGAAACTAGTGTCAACAACTGTAACTTACAGGCTTCGAAACTAGTGTAAACAACTGTAACTTACAGGCGTGAAACTAGTGTAAACAACTATAACTTACAGGCGTTGAAACTAGTGTCAACAACTGTAACTTACAGGCGTCCCCTTTCCACTCAACAATGACAGTTTTATTGGCGTGATGTCAGACAAACGTTTGCTCAGTGGCGCGCTTTATGGGACCAGTGAGAAGACCCGCTTGGTACGACGCGCCGCTGTACAATACTTATGGTTTATAAAGGCGCAGACCGGAGTATTATTGCGACGCTTAGGGATAGATAGATAGATAGATATTTATGAAATCATCTTACAAGTTCACATTGATTCAGACATTGACACAGTGACAAAGCCAGACATATCAAGAAACAGACACAAACAAACAACTATATTCTAAAAAAAAACTGAAAATACTGACACATAAACAGAATAATAATAACGATAACACAAACCACTGTGTGTGTGTGTGTGTTTGTTGTGAACTGCTGTAAACCACAAACTACACAGTCCTCCCTCTTTGGCCTGGGAATATTTTAGTTAGGGTATTATATTTTGTTTACATTTTGGTATTGTATATATTATCGCTATATTCCCTGAGGTTTTAGTATAATGTATTTTCATTTTTAAATTTTTATGAGTTTGTTTAATAACTTCGATGTAAGAAGTTGTTATATTTTGTTATAGTTGTTGTTGAGAGGCTGCAAGGATTTTTTTTTTTGAGGTTCTAGATTTTTTTTATGTTGTTCAGGGTTACGTGTTCAATGGGTAGTGGTAGATGATGATGGTAGTCGATGATGATGATGGTAGTCGATGATGATGATGGTAGTCGATGATGATGATGGTAGTCGATGATGATGGTAGTCGATGATGTGTTGGTAGTAGACGATGGTGTTGATTGTAATGAAGGATAGTTGCGATGGTAGCGTAGAGGATGGTGATGGTAGAAGTAGTGGTGGTGGTAATGGTAGAGGGTAAAAGGTGTTTAATCATCAGGTGAAATAAGCTGGCGGAAGGTTTTTTTGGGGGGCACTCCCTACATCCTTGTGTAGTGAAGCGCAGAAGCGTTTACAGTGCCCAACAGGGAAGCATGCTAATTTCAGGCTTGCCTTTATGTCTCATGAGTTAAGGGCGTAGAAGCCTGAAGAATCAAGGGCATAAAAGCCTGAAGAGTCAATTGTCATCAAGTTATTGGAAGCTCCAACAACTTGTCCTCTGAGTCGCAGCTTTCGATTTACACCAGGTACCTACTTTACTGCTAGGTGAACAGGGACTAATAGGGGCTAGGAAGTATGTCCAAACAACTTCCACCGGCCCGGGAAACGAACCCGTGACATCTCGCTTTCGAAGGCAAGAGCGGTACCACTCTACCACCAGCACCCCCGGGAAAGAGGTAATCTTCAGGTCATCCTCACAATACCTTGACCCCCGGCCCCTCGTGGTCGTGGTGGAGTAAACAAGGATCCTGTACATAAAGATGTAAAACCGAGCGTAATTCAGTGTGTTACTTCATGGTGACTGTGAAGACTTATAAGGCTTATATTGTAGTCTTGGAGTCAGTCATTAGGTCGTAGTTTCAGAGCCAACCATATACTATTAAAATAAAAGTGTTAGTGTACTGCGGTGGACATAACGCCTCACAACGCCTGGTATGATGGTGCCTCAGTCAATGTTTCGTTGTATGTAATGCCAGATGGTAGCTAAATCTCTTGAAGAATTATTGTCATTTGGGGCAGCGATTAAAGTAATGAACATGTATGCGTTATTGTGTGATTGTTCTTACATCTGTCTCTGTGTCTTGTGCCTGTCATTATCTCTGGTTCTCTGTGCCTCTTTCTATCTCTCTGTTATCTATAATATTTTCTAGTTTTCATTTATAGGCGATAAAAATTTAAATGAATTCACATATCAGTAATGTAAGCGATAATATCTTAATTTACTATTTGAGCAGTAATTTAATTCTAAAGTCGATCATTTTAGCCTCTACCAAAATATTTATTTGATAATTTAGCGTTTATGTCCCATTTTGTTCGTATTTTCCTGTTTTCCTCCTGTATCTGCATGCCTTTGATGCATATACTGAAAAAGCATTTTTAATTCCTCGCCAACTCATTTTTCTTGCGTCAGGAGGAATGAGAAGCAGTTTTAAATTCTCTTGTTACTTTTCCTTTGTCACAGGAAAATTGAAGTCGAGTAGCTTAAGCCTTTCTGAAGGGAGTAATGTATGGAGATGTGAGAATAGGCCCTCCTCTCTCTCTCTCTCTCTCACACTAGGCTTGTTCCCACACCTCTGTCTTTAACACCACAGCGGCCCCACACTATTTTAAAATGGAATTATGAATTGCGATTTCATATTCTGCTCCAACTTTTATATGTTAATCTCCATAATCTGATTCTGAACTTTTAGGCGGTAAGCTTTAATTCTCTTTTGTGTTTCATGGGATGTGAGGGGTGGGAGGAGGCAACAGACTAATGCAGAAACGCCCATATGATTATTACCGTATATATATTTTTTTTTTCCTCGTATAAATTAAGTTTACAAGATATAAATGCAACATATATTCAGCCTCTGATTCTTGTATGTAAATGGAAAGTTTTATTTGAGATTGTGGCTGATACACACAGTCAATGGTCTAAAATATTTTCCTCCAGAGACTAGAGTTATTCATTCATCAGTCTCACCATTACTAAAGTGAAAAATAATTAAAAAGTGCTGTTCTATCCTATCTGTTGTTGTTGTTTGTATGTATTTATGCATTATTTCTTGGCTTCGGTTATTAAGGTCCAATTAGTAAACTTCAAAATCCTTTCCCCCACACACACATTTATCTCACTCGCCATCTTAGTTCCGGATGTGTGTTAACAAATAATCGGTGATAACAAGAACCCAGGAGCCATCTAGTAAATTTCTCGGTCTTACATCTGCAGCAAAACTCTTCTTCGATAATGTCCAAAGTTGGGTAAAATTGTTATCGTTAATGTGAGGGTTTTGCCGAACTTGGAAACCTTTCCTCTGATATGGATGAAATACTGTTTTGCTCTTCACTCTCTCTCTGGGACATTTAATTCCTTATAACTGGCAGAGGAAGAGAGAGAGAGAAGGAACGAAAGGAAGAGAGAAATTTATTTTGTGTTTTTATAGTGACTTCACACCAACAGACACCAAGATAAGGTTTTCCCCACAGGCGTCGCTGAAGACGTTCCCACTGCCACTGACGGCGGAGGTAGCGGGGGTAGCGACAGTGGTGGTGTACGCCGTAGGTCGTGACGAGGACTTGGTGGCCGACGCCCTTTTCTTCCCAGTGGACGCCCTCACCAGAAAGGGCCTACACGTGTCCCTGGAGGAGAAGGTGCAGGAGGAGGGCCTCAGAATAACGGTGACGGCCCTGCCAGGGAGTCGTGTGTCACTAGCAGGCTCCCACTGGGCCTCCTACAGTATGCAGGCAGGGAACGACCTTACCCACGCCAAGGTAAGTATCTCAACCCTTCTATACATCAAGTGAACCTTTATTTACAGTTAGTGTGGGAGGGGGGGCAGTGATAGAGGTTGTCATCATCAGCTTCGCAAATTAATTGAACTTGAATCAAA